ATAGTGATTCTTTGTTCTTATGATGATCTAAATAACTAAATATTTGGAGTTAGTTTGTGACTTTAAACAGGAGCGGCTCGGCCCGATCCGAGCGTTCCCTCCGGAGTTCACGGCACCAATTCCTGACATTTCACAGCAGTTAGCAAACAGTTTGCAGCACCAGAAAAAACACATTAAAGTAAGCACTGCAGGGTGTGTGTGTGTGTGTGTGTGTGTGGGTGTGTGTGTGTGTGTGTGTGTCCCAGTAGAACAGGTGTGTAGTGAACCCAGGAGAGAAAAGCCGTCCTGTCTTCGCTCCTTAAGGGGCCCTCCACTCAAATTAGATGTAAATGAGGTCTGGAGTGGCTTCCCAGGGAGGACGTTATGGGATCGGCGGGCCTGAGGAAAACTGGGCAGGCAGCTGAGGTCAGCACTGTTTTTCTCTCATTAACCTCCCCAAATGTTGTTTAAATGGAGCAGGAGAACCGGGCCGGTTCTGACAGCCGCTGCTCAGAGGGTGAGGGAGGATGTTAAATCAGGAACCAGTTTAATGATTTCAGAAGGTCGCTGATGGTTTCCACGGCTGATGCAGCCAGACGTCTCCCTCTCCGCTGATTTCCTGCTCTGCAGGCGTTCCCAAAATAATACGCCTTGTAGGCCTTTTCGCGTTCTTCTCATGGATTCCAACACTTCAAACCCAATTTCCTTCAACTTGTGTCATGACACTTAACTGCGGTTCTCAGCGACCTTTGCAGTCGGCCTGAATTAGTTTGGTTCAGTAGAAACGTCTTCAGAGAGCCGTAAAAACCAGCAGCAGGGAAAATCCCCCTTCAACACCTGATGGCTCTCGCTCACTGCTGCGTCATTAAACCATGTTATTGTTGTGAGTCTGCAGGCTTCACTCTTCATCAATACAATGCTACGTTACTTTGTGACGCAAACATTCACAGGATGAAGGAGGTTAGCATCTGCTTAATGAAATCTTCGCTGCTGTGCTCAAACTGGACCAGAACTTCTGGTTCTGTTACGACTGTAGTGTGAACCCAACAGGTTGTCCGGTTTACTGCCAGGTTTATGACCCTTCAATTTAAACAAATCAACTCTGCAGCGCTGAAAGACTTCTGGACCAGGCGGAGAAAACGTTTTTACTCCTCAGAAAAGAGAAAGTTGTTCCAGTTCAAACTCAGAGATGTATTTATTAAATCAGATTTAAGCAGCAGCCAAACCCGATTCCTCCTCACCCTCATCGTTTGCTCTCACTCTGATGTTTGCTCATGATTTGTCTGGTAAAACAGTCCAAGAGTCGCAGTTTGGACCCGCTGCATGTTGCGCTAAAACAGCAACAACATGAAACCTGGAGCTGTTAACTCAGCGCAGAGTTCAGGAAAATAATGCAACATAATGCAACAGCTTCTCTTTTCTCACTTTCTGGCAGCTACGCTACACACAGACCCGTTTCCATAGCAACTGACAACAACAGCACTTCATGTAACAGGATTCAACATTAAAAACACGCAAACATTCAGTCCGTTACAGCTTTATGTTTTTAGGCTTAATCTTTATTTTGCCATTAATAAGTGATCGCTGTGGTAGATTAGCTACCGCTGCTATTAGCTAAGCTAAGCTAACACAGCGGTGGTGGATTAGCTAATTTAAGCTCTACTGATGATCTATCAGAGTTTGTGTGTGGGTTGCTTTTTTAATTATTAAATGAACCAAAAACCAAATTCTGAGGCACATCCACATGTTAAGGTTGTCAAAGTCAAGTTAGCATAACTGAACTACTTCCTTCTCCCTCGCGTTTTGTTTCAATTAAAATGTTTCCCTGACATTGCTATCTCGTTGTTGTATTGTTTAGATCAGCCGTACATTTAAGATTTCATGTTGACAGCTAGCAGCTAAAGCCAATGCTAGTCATCGTTAGCTAGCAGTTGTTTGCTCTCCAGCAGGAAGCGGGGGGCGGGATCTTGTGCACCTGCGGCAGACGGTGGATATTATTGGGTTTGAAGACAGAACAAACAGATCCAAACTGAAACGTTGTTTGGAAAAGCCAGGCTGGTCCAGGAAGCTTCTCTTAAAGCTTCCTGGTTGCTTTGTTTCATTTTCAGGCTAAAACCCCCGGATGGAGACCCGACCACAGCCAGTCCTCTCTGCTCTGCTGCAGCCCAGTTTCATGTTCCCTGCAGCGAAACATCACCCAGAGGGAGAGAACTGATTGGCTCACCAGTCAGCGGAACCAGTTAAAACCATCAGAACCTTTGGGAAACATCCCACACCAACACCAGAACCCAAACTGCAGCTCCATCCCTTCAGTCCAGTTAAAAAAAGGTTTCTCCAGCATTTATGGAAACTTCCTCTGTTTGTTTTTCCTTTCAATCGACCACCATCTGTATGTTTTTCCCTAAAATGATGCATACCAGTCTGACCAGTTTGGACCAGTTCTCCCAACTTCAATAGATATAAATATCCTCCTGCCAGAAAACTATTGAAACACACATTCCTGACATTTATTCACATGTTCATCTCAACATTTGATATTTTCTCTGTTCACAAACGGAGCCGGTCTCTATATAAACTAATATTTCCGCTACAACGTTTAAAAACTAATATCATACACATCAAATCAGTTTCAGAAAAGTTTTCATCCACCTGAACAACCCCAGCTCTGAGCGATGTTTTAATGACAACCAATAGGGGGCAGCGCAGCGCTAAACTACAACCTGTCAGCCAATCAGACGGCTTCAAAACAAACCTCACTTCTGGTTGGGTTAAACATGGCGCCTGCAGGCAGGTTCAGGAACAGCTGTAAACGTTGGAATATAAAGTTACTAAAACAGACATTGATCAGGAATAATGTGAATTCATCGTTTATTTATCGTTTGTCGTTTATTTGTCGTTTATTTGTCACAACCTGCAACGCCATGAAAACACCATTTCCTCAAATCTCCATTTCGGTCTGAGTTTTTATAAATAATTATTTATTGATATGAAACAGAGTTTATTGTGCAGATGAAAAGATAAAAAGCTTAAAAAGATAGGCTTTCCCAGATATCAAATTGAAATAAATGTTTCTTTAATTCGTTATTTTGTAAAAAAGTTATTAATTTCTGCATCTCATGACATCATCAGTTACACATTTTATAAAACACTTTGTTTTGGGCACTTGGCTCTCCTTTCATAACAAGATGAAAGTTATATCACACATTGTTTTTCTTTGGTAATCAATTCTTCTATTGATGATTAATCAATTTCTGGGATGTGAAATTGTCAAATTTTTCATTTAACCCTTTAAGCTTCTTTTTATAAAACATTAAATTTACATTAAAAGAAGCAAGTAAACAATTCAATTAATTTTACAATTTAGAAAATAAACATTTTGTTGCCTAAAATGCAACAACTTGGCATTATTTCAGTGAATGCTTAATTTTCTGTGGATTAATTGATTGCTTTTTCCATTAATTGATTAATAACTGAAATAGAAAAGTTGATTAATATGTGATTAATTTTACAGAATGGGAAGCTAACAGATTTACATTGATTAGTTCAAATCTTAAAAGCAGCATTTTGATAATATTTTGTAAAGTTTTGGGTTAATTTCTGGTCTTTCAGTAAATTAACTATTTTAGAGTCTTAACTCCAGACATCAATTCATCTGTTACTACATTAGTTGATTTCAGTTATGGATTAATTGTCGTTAATTGTTTCAGCCTTAGTTAAGTCAAATAAAAATATTGGCCAGATGTGTTCACTTCAAATAAAAATCAAGTTAATAAGCTATTTTTGGCCAGATTGTTTCTGAATCTGAAGCTGATAAATTTGGTTCATTTGATGATCTGAAGTCCATATTCTCCTTATCTCAGCTGGCAAAGCCAAATCTCTGCCTGGAGCAACGGCGCTCGTCTCCTTTAAAAAGTTTCCCATCTGCCCTCACCTTCCCAGCGCAGAGCTCATCCATTTTAATGCTTCCACCTCCGACGCCTCAAATTTATCTGCAGAGGGGAATAAAGACGAAGGCCGGCCGGGGAGGGAGCAGCTCGGATAAATCAGAGGAGCAGAAACAGACGGGCAAATCTCCCCCAGGGGGGCAGAGCGACACCACCCCTAATTATTTATTTTACTGGGGTGTAAACGTCCTGGGGGGGGCGCGTGTGAACGCCAGCAGGTCCTGGGGGTCGCAACAATCACACAAACATCACCTGAACAAAACGCGCTCCAACCTGCAGACGCAGCAAAACGCAAACACACACAGGTGCTGAACGGCAGATACATGCATCAAACGCAGCTGCAACGCATGCAGCTGCAACGCATGCAGCTGCAACGCATGCAGCTGCATGCGTTGCAGCTGCGTTTGATGCATGTAGATGGAGTTTGTCGTGTCAGTTTAGTCTGCTGCTGACCCCCTGCAGGGCTTCAACCGCTTCGTTATCACCAATAATCACTTCCATGATTATTTCCCTCTAGTGTGTGTGTGTGTGTGTGTGTGTTAGGAACATGCACACACATCTGTCTGAGGAATGAAATCGCTCTGAAGGATCAACAGGTTGGATAAAGTCTCTCTGCTCTCTGGGTTTTAGTTAAAACATGAAACTGGATCAGAAACTTTTGGGTCCAGAACTTCACTGGTTCTGGTTCTGGTACAGAAACTCAGTTACTGGAGGTTCTGTTGAATGTTTTGAGTCAGCATTAATCTGAAAGAAATCAGGTTTCAATGATCATTCCATCCAGCTGGGCTGATCAGAACCGGTACCGATATCCAGCCACTTTGTTGACTTTTAATTATTTGAAGATGCATAAAAGAGAAAAATGTTAAGATTGGTCATATTTATGCATCAAATCAAACATCCTCCATTTTATTCAGTTAATTAGTGAATCAAAGTTCCCATCTCAGTTCTAATGAATAAATGGAAAATGTTTTAATAATTGGTGCATCTTTAGTTCAATCTAATGAACTGACTCTGTGGAGTCATGGTTCTGGTTCTGGTCCATCGGAACCGTCCCGGGTCAGGCTGGGCTCTACTTACAGGCGCTCTGCGCTCCGCGGGACTCCTTTGGGTACCGTCTTCAGACCCAGACCCTGGCAGTCCACATGCGACCCGGAGCAGCTGCACTTGTGCGGGCATCCATGCGCCGCGGCGGCCCACAGCAGCGCGGCGAGCAGCGCAGCCCAGAGCCGGAGTCCGGCGCGCCTCTCCGACCCGCTCACACACATATCCCGGTTCCGACAGGCTGGGTTCACAGCAGCGACGCCGAGGAAGGAGGATCGGTTCGGTTTCCTCCAAGTGAAAACTTTCTCCCGTGGGTTCGGAAGTTTCTCCGCTTTGAAGCAGAAAGCTGCGCGTAAAATCTCCCCAAAGCGTCGCGGAGCCACGATCCACTCACAGGGCGGGCGGTCAGAACCCGGTCTGGACCCGAGCCGACCCGGTGGAAGCGTTCTGCTGGGCTGGGACCTCCGAACTGAACATCCTCCGCTGCTGCAGGAAAAGTTCCGGAGCGCAGCGGCGCGGCAGACTGGAGCGACCTGCGCGGAGCATGCGGGTCCCCCGCAGCAGAGCGCCTCCCCCCGCCTCTCTCTCTCCTGATGTCACCGCAAACCGAGCGGGAGACTTCCCCAAACTTTCACTCCTGCAGCTGATCTGCAGCAGGAACCGGACCGAGCTCTGGTTCCTCTCCAAACTGAACAAACGCAGCAGTTTTTATAGTTTCAATTCAAACTAAAGGTGTATTATGTCTCAAACTCAGGCCTTGGACCCTTAAAAAGAGCCGTTTATGGTTTTAATATCCCGTTCTGAGCGCGGCAGAGCCGCTCATCCAGACAGAAATGTTTCAGACTCATGTTTCTGGGGGAACACCAGGACCACCACAGTGGACCAACTTTCTAACTTTGTCACATCTGCAGCAGCCTGGCGGAGCAAGCCGCAGACTGCCCTCTGTTGGTGGAGGAAGACTGGAGAAAACTCACTTCAGACTGAAAAGTCTGTTTGTCTTTAGTTTCAGGTGTTTCCTCTGATGATGAGACAGAAAAACCAACAACTATCTGGATACAAAATGAATATTTCTGATGCAGTGCAGCTTCTGCTCTGCAGCGAAAACCTGAAACGTCCAGCAGAAACATCAACATCTGGTTCTGAAGTCCAGAACCGATCCAGCCTAACTGCTGCAGTGAGGCGTTCAAAGACGGCTGGGAAACCCGTCAACATCTCAGAACAACTAATGATTTAACAATCAGAGTTTCTGCAGCTGCACCGACTCAAACCTTCGAATATCAACACAAATGTACAAAATGCAAGAAATGTATCATTTCTACCAACCCATGATGGAGGTAAAGACATGTCTTACGATAGAAATGTGCAAAAGATGATAAATTGGCGATAAATTTTAGATTACTCATATTTTAGCTGAGTTACGTCATAAAGAGCCTTCACTAGTAATTAGCTACAGACAGGATAACTACAAATCTGTTAAAGAGTTTAATTTTTTGTATAAATTTTGTGCCTTGTTTTTGTTTTTGGTATTGACGAAACCAATCAAATGTTTTTACTCTCAAATATTGACTCAAATTTCTAAACAACTCGGATCATTTTTTGGTAGCTTCATCCATCCAAACCTATGTTCATTTAAAAAATAAAACCAACCAAATATGAAATAATCTTCACTTTTTAAAGTTGTAGAAAAAGAGAATAATTACTTTCTCATTTTAACCCTTTATTATTTAATGCTTATTGTCTTATTGAAGCGGTTTGCACTGAGCTGAGTTTATTCACCAATAAATCTGGTTTGGATGGAAAACCTTTCCACACAGCAAAGCCAGCTAATGCAATCAGGCACCATAAACTCCACTTTTATTTAGATCACTGAACATCTAAATTGGTCATTAGTAATATTTATTTAATCCAAAAGAGTGAGAACATTTTTATGATTTGGATTTAAAATGAACAGACTGTTTTTCTTGGAGGATCTGAATATTTCGTTTGTTTTATTAAATGCTGTTCAGTTAATGGTCAGATTTTCAGTTGAAGGCTGAAAGCTTTGACTTCATGATCCAACACGTTCTGGGTGATGCTGTAATTCCCAGAAGTGGATTTGTCTCTGGAGGAATAATCTGAGCAACGATTTCAGTCTGAAGCTGTTAAAATACATGAACAAAGTCTGAAAAGGGCAGATAAGCATTAATAATTAATCACAAGCCAGTTCAGAAAACAACACGACAAGAGCACTGTAAAAACACAAAATCTTAGTTTGGTACAAGTTCTACTGCAAATGTGAGAATACATTTAAAATAAGACAAAACTGACGTATAAGTAACTTTTCAGCAAGAAACCTTTTAGTCAAAAATGAGTTAATATGAGGAAGTGCAGATTGTTCAGTTATAAAAGCTTGGCTTGTTGCAATAAATCACATCATAAATTAAAGCTCAATCCTTTCCATCTGCATGATATATTGTTTTTCTCTTTCTACAAAAACAGGATGATAAAGTCGTTAGTTTGGTGTTTTTTTCTCAAGGATAATTGTGTTTACAGAGACGAAATAATAAATGTTATTTGTTGTTGAGTTATTTTGGACATTTGAAATGTCTTCCTGTTCCTGCGTTAAATGTTCTCTAGAAATTAAGGTTTATTGACCTTTGAGAATGAGTTCTTTCATTCCCACTATACTCCTAGAAAATGGTCTCAAAACATCAATATTATCATTTATCATAACAACTTATGGGATTATTTATCGTTCAGCAACATTTGCTACGATAAGCCAAAAATCAAGACATTTTCCCATAATATAGATCACAAATCGACTACAGTAGACCGAAAATACTTGGTAGGATTTGGAGTTCTTGCAGGGAAGACCTGGGTTTAGTTCTTAGTGAGTTATTTAAGTCTGAGTTCCTAAATGCAGTCTGGCAGAAACTCGGCCAGCGTCAGGCTGATGGCAGCACAGGGGAAGTAGAGCAGAACAGCAGCTCATTTCAGGAGCTTCCTGGGCTTCACTAAGGTTTCCTCCACCGCCGAGCCAGCAGGTATCTGAAACAAAGCCAAGATTTCCTTCATGCACTTTATCTCAGAGCTCCGGGCTTCTGACGGAGGGAAGAGCCGCCACATCAGGAACCATCAAAGAAAATGGCAACAAAGACCTAAAGCATCAAGTCCAGACCGCAGTCAGTATGGACCCACTGCCAGCAGAACCAGGACCAGTATGGACCCATTGCCAGCAGAACCAGGACCAGTATGGACCCACTGCCAGCAGAACCAGGACCAGTATGGACCCACTGCCAGCAGAACCAGGACCAGTATGGACCCGGTACGGAGAACCAGGACCAGTAGTGGACCCACTGCCAGCAGAACCAGGACCAGTATGGACCCACTGCCAGCAGAACCAGGACCAGTATGGACCCGGTACGGAGAACCAGGACCAGTAGTGGACCCGGTACATAGAACCAGGACCAGTATGGACCCAGTACATAGAACCAGGACCAGTATGGACCCGGTACATAGAACCAGGACCAGTATGGACCCGGTACATAGAACCAGGACCAGTATGGACCCGGTACATAGAACCAGGACCAGTATGGACCCGGTACGGAGAACCAGGACCAGTATGGACCCGGTACGGAGAACCAGGACCAGTATGGACCCGGTACATAGAACCAGGACCAGTATGGACCCAGTGCATAGAACCAGGACCAGTATGGACCCGGTACATAGAACCAGGACCAGTATGGACCCGGTACGGAGAACCAGGACCAGTATGGACCCACTGCCAGCAGAACCAGGACCAGTATGGACCCAGTGCATAGAACCAGGACCAGTATGGACCCGGTACATAGAACCAGGACCAGTATGGACCCGGTACATAGAACCAGGACCAGTATGGACCCGGTACATAGAACCAGGACCAGTATGGACCCGGTACATAGAACCAGGACCAGTATGGACCCGGTACATAGAACCAGGACCAGTATGGACCCGGTACATAGAACCAGGACCAGTATGGACCCACTGCCAGCAGAACCAGGACCAGTATGGACCCAGTACATAGAACCAGGACCAGTATGGACCCACTGCCAGCAGAACCAGGACCAGTATGGACCCGGTACGGAGAACCAGGACCAGTATGGACCCACTGCCAGCAGAACCAGGACCAGTATGGACCCAGTACATAGAACCAGGACCAGTATGGACCCACTGCCAGCAGAACCAGGACCAGTATGGACCCAGTACATAGAACCAGGACCAGTATGGACCCACTGCCAGCAGAACCAGGACCAGTATGGACCCGGTACGGAGAACCAGGACCAGTATGGACCCACTGCCAGCAGAACCAGGACCAGTATGGACCCAGTGCATAGAACCAGGACCAGTATGGACCCGGTACATAGAACCAGGACCAGTATGGACCCACTGCCAGCAGAACCAGGACCAGTATGGACCCAATGCATAGAACCAGGACCAGTATGGACCCGGTACATAGAACCAGGACCAGTATGGACCCGGTACATAGAACCAGGACCAGTATGGACCCGGTACATAGAACCAGGACCAGTATGGACCCGGTACATAGAACCAGGACCAGTATGGACCCGGTACATAGAACCAGGACCAGTATGGACCCGGTACATAGAACCAGGACCAGTATGGACCCGGTACAGTCAAAGACAACTCTGAGTTTTGATCAGTTTCCCAACACATTTAAATCATCTTGCTACACAGCTGGGCAGTTCATTGCTTATCATAACTCAGAATCAATTTAATTTCCATTTTTTGTCTCTCAGTTTGATCCAATACTGACTTCATGAACCTGTTAATAATTGAATGCATCACTTATTTTTTCACGATTCCTGTCCAGGTGAGCAGCCATAACCATATGCATTACTGTTCACCTTCGTATGTTAGAGCCGTAAAATATCAGAAAATAAAGTAGCAACCCGCTCAAAAAGTTAACACAGGGTTGCTAGGTAACAGTCTGAGCTCGGCTCAGGTTGCTAGGTAACAGTCTGGGCTCGGCTCAGGTTGCTAGGTAACAGTCTGTCAGATAATTGTTAGATAATTGTCAGATAATTGTTAGATAATTGTTAGATAATTGTCAGATAATTGTCAGATAATTGTCAGATAATTGTCAGATAATTGTCAGATAATTGTTAGATAATTGTCAGATAATTGTTAGATAATTGTTAGATAATTGTCAGATAATTGTCAGATAATTGTCAGATAATTGTCAGATAATTGTCAGATAATTGTTAGATAATTGTCAGATAATTGTTAGATAATTGTTAGATAATTGTCAGATAATTGTCAGATAATTGTCAGATAATTGTCAGATAATTGTCAGATAATTGTTAGATAATTGTCAGATAATTGTTAGATAATTGTTAGATAATTGTCAGATAATTGTCAGATAATTGTCAGATAATTGTCAGATAATTGTCAGATAATTGTCAGATAATTGTCAGATAATTGTTAGATAATTGTCAGATAATTGTTAGATAATTGTCAGATAATTGTCA